CCACAACGGCGTGCACTTTTTCGACACTTTTTCGACATCTGAACCTCCAAAAGTGGTCCGAACATGGTGTGTTTTGTGCATTTTGACTTGGAAATGTGCTTCGCGCCACAACGGCGTGCACTTTTTCGACATCGGAACTTCCAAAAGTGGTCCGACATTGGTGTGTTTTGTACATTTTGCCTTCCAAATGTGCTTCGCGCCACAACGGCGTGCACTTTTTCGACATCGCAACTTCCAAAAGTGGTCCGACATTGGTGCGTTTTGTACATTTTGCCTTCCAAATGTGCTTCGCGCCACAACGGCGTGCACTTTTTCGACATCGCAACTTCCAAAAGTGGTCCGCTCCTCTAGTGTTTTGTCCATTTTGACTTGGAAATGTGCTTCGCGCCACAACGGCGTGCAATTTTTCATCTCTCATCTGGCCAGCTGGCTCCGCACCCGCCGCTGTAGCGAGCCTACTTTTCGACCCTCCGGAGCCACAAATCATTGGAAAAACACAGTGTTTCGCGACTTTCCTACCTTTTCGCGCATCTGCATCTTCTTTCTTCTGATCTTGTCTCTTCTGACTCTTCTCACCTCTGCTTTTCAACTGTCCATATTGTCGGAAGTTTCACTTCTAAACTTCCTTCGATAATGGTTAAGAATTGTTAATCATGGTAGTTGATAATGATATACCCTCTGGTAATTTGTTACATAGCTGTTGAAAATGGCCCATTGAAATAGTTGATTTACCTATTAAAAATGGTGGATCTTTCCATAGCAAACTGTCAGTTTACCAGAGGGTAAGTTGGGGTTCACATAACTCCAATTTCACGGGAGGGTTTATGGTACATATACCGAACTACATTTCATGGGGGTTACAAACCAACGTTCCCATACGAATGCCTTCCCCATCATACGAATAACGCCACCTTCGGTCCCATTTTTATCTGCGATTTCATCCTACTAGGCCACATTTTCTGGGGAGTGTTCAGTGTTAGGAAGGAATGTATTTCTGGCTACCCTCTGGTAAACGTTTACAAAAAACGAGCTGCCATGCAACTGTTCCAATCCAACCAGCTGTCCATTAATGCCCTGAGATCTACACATTTGCTGAGTTTTGGATTTCGCCACGTAGCATCCCTGCACATTTCTCGTTCCTTCCATTTTCCGGATCATATCTTCGCTTTCTTGATGGGGTGTGCCTCCAGATTTTCTGCAAAAAACAATCCGCTCAATTTTGTGCCACCTTTACATGAGTTCTTTTGATTGAGTGATGCTTGCATTCAAATTAAATGGCATTCGCCTACGCCGTCTTCGCCCAGTTTCTTAGCTTGGAGGTGGCTGCGTTGTTGGAGAAAAAATAAACGTTTACAAAAAACGAACTGGAACGATCCACCATTTTAAATGGGAACATCAACTATTTCGACTGGGCCATTTTCAATAGTTATTTGTGGTTTACCAGAGGGTAATCCGTCATCACACTTGCGAAAACTTGGATTTCCAAGCAATTTCCACTAATTTATAGCAGGGGATGAACTATTCCACCGCTCAGAGCCATAAGAATGCCTTTCTTCACCCACCCTTTTCCCATCTAAGTTGGCACCAACATTTCTAGCTGGGAAAACAATAAACAATCAACATGAATGATGGAAAGTTGATGTTTGTTTTCCACAATAAATATAGTACATATGCAATCTATGGAAAACAAAACATCAACGGTTAAACAACCTGGTCATCCGCCTGTTTACCCAACCATTTCACCTGAAGAGTTGGATCTTTCTGGAAGGATTCCCCCAATCCTAGCCATCATGTTTTTGGTGTGAGCGCCTTGAGGAGCGCAACGCTTTCGTCCTTTTTCAACACCCCCCTGACCCTGGGGTGGGGTTGGGGTTGGGGTGGGGTCATGTTAACGTTCATCTGAAGTTGCACACCCACGTGATGCTACGCTGGGTATGGGGTGGGGTTGGGGTTGGGGTGGGGGTCATGTTAACGTTCATCTGAAGTTGCACACCCACGTGATGCTACGCTGGGTATGGGGTGGGGTTGGGGTTGGGGTGGGGGTCATGTTAACGTTCATCTGACGTCGCACACCCATGTGATGCTACGCTGGGTATGGGGTGGGGTTGGGGTGGGGGTCATGTTAACGTTCATCTGAAGTTGCACACCCACGTGATACTACGCTGGGTATGGGGTGGGGTTGGGGTTGGGGTGGGGGTCATGTTAACGTTCATCTGAAGTTGCACACCCACGTGATGCTACGTTGGGTATGGGGTGGGGTTGGGGTTGGGTTGTGGTCAAACACTCCCGTGCAGAGTTCACGCGCAAAAGAGGTCGAGCTCGCACAGTGGGCACGCAGCAGTTGGATAGGCAGTGGCACCATGTAAAGAAAAGTGTGCCGAACCAATGGACAACGACTTCCAAAGGGAAGATCAGAGAGCGAGCTCTCTGGAAATACCTCTGGCGTGGACAGTGGCATCACCTCAATGAAGGACACGTGTTCACCAGCCTCGGAAAGTTGTGCAAGCACCACCGAGATGAAAGGTAGCAAAAAAAAGATTGCCAATGAAGACAGCTTGGAACACAAATGCAAATACATTGCAAAAAACAATGAACTTGAACAAAATCACCCATTTGGGGCGTGCAGTTCTACGTTTTTGCTCATCTGCATATCCACGATCAACATGATACATACTAAAAAAACCTTGCGTTTTCTCACAATATGTCAAAAACATGTGATGACGCAGACATTGACTATCGCAAACAGTACAGCGCTCCGGCGGGCGCTCTGGACCATGTTTTTGGGTCATATTACAGGGATAATATTGCTAATTTCATGGGGAACGTTTCTACTAATACTCAACAATATTACCAATAACATTGACTCACATGCGTACTTCAAAATTACCAAGAAAATGATTGGTTGATGTTAAGTCATACTGCTAATACTGCTCATATTAATGTGGTAACCCCAATAATAAACCTATCATTTGAGGACGGTGTTTACATGTGCTTACCAACCATTTATAATCATTTATATAAATCCATGGTAAACTTGGGGGCTGGCTTATAGTTGGGTTTACCACATTACCAACCTTCCCCAAAAATCAGCCCGCTTTTCACCGCGTTCATCTCCTCTGGACTTGCCAGCATGCAACGATGAGCTCGCACCTGACAGGGGATACAGGTACCTGGGTCCCTTTCCGAAGCTTACCCGAAAAGGGTGTCCTCAATGCTAGCAAATTCACCATAAAAATATGGAGCTTTGCACGCGAAAAACTGGGGATAATCATTGGACAACATCACCTATGAATGGCGGGTTCTATGGGAACATCATGATTTGAGGTTTTATGGGAAAACCATGAGCTGATTTTCCCAGCTCAGCATTCTAAAGCCCAATTTTTGCGGATTTTCCAGCCACGTTTGATTACTGGAGGATATATAGATCTTCTTGAGATCCGACCACAAGTCTCGGGGGATTAAACCAATGGATAGGTGTTTGTTGTTGAGCCCTGGTATGCCTTGGTTAAGAATACTGGGAATGTACGCTTCCCCCAAAATAGTGAAAATTTGGTACTGACATGGTACTTCCTCCAAATTCTTTGGAATTGCCCAAGTATGTGTTTTTGCAACTGAATGGACTTCAAGTTTCAATGGACCGTTCAAGGGAAAGTCCACTTTCAAGGATTTTACTCTCAAGGACAGAAGAGTTTTCTGCAGATTGTCCCAGGAAAGTCAGACATCATGAACAAACATCGACTTATTTTCCATCCCGAAACACGATTCATTAAAGGCGCTGATAGATAGATTTATCCCTTCCCTCTACGAAGGGATGCCTGGTCTCCAAAATGAAGAGATTTTCAATGGATTTTCATCGAAGATTAGAGGGAAGGGATTACTGGTGGGTGATTATTAGTCAATGGGAAGGATTATCCCATATATTATGGAAGAAGGGATTTTTATATGGGATTAATATGAAAACCGTTTTTTTATGGGATGATTCGACATTCCCAATATGATGGGAAAGTCATAAAATTCCATGGTTCCATTCCCAATAATGGTAGTTGATAATGATATACCCTCTGGTTATGACTAACATAGCCATGGTATAGATGGCCCATAGAAATAGATGGTTTACCTAGCTATAAAATGGTGGATCTTTCCATGGCGAACTGTTAAATAACCAGATGGTAATATTCATAGTTATTCAACCGTTATGAATATTCATCAAAGGGATTAATTTACAACATGAAGTATCATCTGGGCTAGATCCCCATATTTTCATACTTATGCAGTTATGCGCCAACAGCAGTGGGAACATTCCTCAAAACAGACAACCATTGCAGTGCTTTGCCCAAGACCTTTAAGTGGCGAATTCACAGGTAGATTCAGCAAACGGATAGCATTTGCTAGTAAAATAGTTTGCCTCCCAACTTAAACCAACCAGATTTTTCACATGTGGATACAGGTCGACATTTTTTTGGACCCTAAGAATTATATGAATACTCATATGGCTATGGGTCAAAACCCGGGCACCTAATGAACCCCAAAATAGCTGGTATAGCTGGATGTTCACCCACTAAAAATACTATGGCTATAGGTTTTGACCCATCCCCATTTTTTTTTATACCATGGCCAATCATGGCAGCCAGATACCCTGCAAAACATGACAAATTCTTAGCCGGTGAACGTAGATAATCCCATTGATACCAAAACAAACTGAAGGATTAAATTGATTGGTACCATCCCATTGACAGTTATTGATATTCATAATCCCATAATCCCAGTAGATAATCCCATCTGCATCTCATTAGTCCCTCGCCATCCAGTCGATCGACCTAGACTGGTTGGTGGTTTCAACCCCTCTGAAAAAATTCGTCAGTTGGGATGATTATTCCAAATATCTGGAAAAATTACCAAAATGTTCCAAACCACCAACCAGCCATTGAACTACCCATCCAGTCGATCGATCAAGATACTAGACATCTTCTAAAATCAAGCTGTCGCCCCACGACACACTTTTTTCATCGCAGCGAACGCAGCGGCGCGGCCTGGTGGAGCGAGACTCAAATCAAAAAGATGAGGTAAGAATTAGATCTATCCATACAGGATGGGGCCCCCAAGATAGCGTCCAGTTGAGATATAAGTGGCTTAATTCTATGGTTTATGGTAGATATAACTATAGATAACTATAGTTCATGGGGTTTATAAACTTACTTACAACTGGGGAGCACCATCCTGTACGGGGGCTGTTCAAATTAAGGTTCCCCAAAACTGCTCTTATAACATGGGTTTTAGAACGACAAAAATAGATATACACCTCGTAATTAACAGTTATATGCCACTTTTAAGTATAGCACATGACAGCATATCACAGAATATTATCACCATTAAGATCGGTATTCCAATCGTGTCCCCATTTTTCCACTCGGACTCGCTCACAATTATCTCTACATTTGGAGGTTGCCTGAAATGGGGTACCCCTAAATCATCTATTTTATTTTCGGATTTTCCATGAAATAAACCATCCAGCGAGCTTGGGGTACTTCCATGACTATGGAAACCTCCATTTCGAGTGGAGGTCAAGATATGTCAAGCTAAAGCTCGGGGGTGCATCCCGGTTGTTGGAAGATTAAGCATCTTGTACTCCAGTTATACATTTTATATGGATTGTATATGGGTTATTATAGGTTATTATGGGTTATTATGAGTTATTATGGGTTATTATGGGATATTATGGGTTATGGATTGTATATGGGTCATTATGCACTTCGTATTGAAGTGGACCCCACAATCGTGGGCTGATTTGGCCATGAAAAATACCGTTCTCCCATCCCATAAAATACTGCTCGGATTCCGCTTGTTCAATTATGTTCTAAGGTCCTATGTGGATTGGAATCATTCCCAATCACCGGCTAGTAAAACCCATGCATTAAAACATATTATCACAGATTATCACGTATTAAAACATATTCAAACATATTGTAACGTATTAAATAAAACATATCATAACACATCATCACCCAAATGTGTTTAAGAGGCTTAGCCTTCCAGAACAGGAACATGGGAAAGCTCGCTCGCTGTCCCTGGATGGAACCACTGAGATTCCGGACATCGTGCGGCCTTGGGGCTAAGATTGTCGAGACAGAACCTGCGTCTTGGTGTGAACGATCCATTCGAAAAGAGCAATGAAGAGGCTGCCTGAACATTTTGGACTCCCATAAAATAGCCTCTGGTAAACGTTAACATAACGAACTGGAAAGATCCGCCATTTTTGATGGGTAAATCCACGAACTACATGATTAAATTACCATAAAATAGCATCATCGCATCATCGCATAGGAAGACTCCAGCCACCTCAAAGAATCCCATTTTGGGGCGGTTTCCTGGGAACCGGCTGGGACCTATGATGCGCCGGCGGCATCCGTTTTTCTCCATAAGATGGACCCAGATTTACCAAAACTGCAGATTTGGGGTATTCCACAGTTTGAGATAAACCCATTTTCGTACTATTTTCAAAAAACGTCCTGAAAGCCCGTTGAAATCTCTGATCTAAGAGATATGGCACGACCTCGATGGATCAATCGTAGATTCTCACGACCTCAACGCAATGGCCAAACTGTGCTTAGGAGCTGTGGCTCATCCCACAAAACCTAGGCGCGTTGCGCCTAGCGCCTAGGTTTCGTGGGAGCCACCAAGTAGTGAATTTAAAGATCAAACTGCGATAATCATTAATTATAGTAGTTATTATAGTAGTGAAATTGATAATGAAATTATTGATAAGTAATTTATAGATCAATTGATCATCTTTTTGCATCGATGTAGGCACCTCGAAAACCTGGGCCGATCCAAATGATCCTGCGCAGTGAGATCCCACTCGTTTTTCAGCCGGGATTTCCAGGTACAACAAATTGCTTCAAGGGAAACCATACAGGAACCCCACGCGATTTGGCCCGAAATACCAGTTATAAATGTTATAAGTACTTAGTTCTAACCAGCTATAACCCCATAGAAATCACCAGTTATAACTCATAGACGGCCATAACCCCATGAGATTTGGAAGAACAAGCACGGTTTCCTGTTACATTTCCGACCAGTTTGGCAATCATCTGATTGGCGGTTTCCATGCGAACGAAAAATCTTAGTCAATAGGGATTATCGTTTCAAATAAATTGGATGGACCATAAAACATATTCCAAACCACAAACCAGATTCATTTCCTGAACTGTTTTTGACCCCTTTTTTTTGATCGGGGGTTCCGGTTTCAATTTTTCCATTCTCGAATGAGACAAGAACCGACATTACATTACATCCTCAAACATCAGCTGGCCCCATGATCGGTTTCATGGAGCTACGGGGTCCCCAAACAAGAAAGCCAACACTCATCGATTTGGCAAATCCAAACTTGAGCAAAAGATTCAATGGATTGGTTTAAGGGAAAATTTACAGGAAAACCCCATATTTAATGGGAACATCTATGGTTTCCTGTAGATTTTCCATTAAACCAATCCATTGAAAGATTGCAGAAAAATCACAAAAACTACGGAACTGGTTGACCCACATATCTCCTCATGGGAAAATTCGACATGGCTACTGGTCATGGCACCCAGAGACTCCTCCTGCTGGTGCAAGATTTCGAGTTCTGCCTCCAAAAGCCTGGGTCCAGTGAGGAAAGTGAGGATGTTAATGGAATCCCCAAAACAAACTGGTCGTGTTGGAAAACTGGTCCAGAGATTATGCTTGGTGAATGGTACATACATTATATACATCCATATATACATATATACGTACATATATACATACACGCGTACGTACGTACATACATGCACGCATACATACATAACATAACAAAACATAACATAACATTACATTACATTAATAATTACATGAACAATTACATTAACAATTACATTAATCATTACATTAATCATTACATTAATCATTACATTAATCATTACATTAACCATTACATGAATCATTACATGAATCATTACATGAATCATTACATTAATCATTACATTAATCATTACATTAATCATTACATTAATCATTACATGAATCATTACATGAATCATTACATGAATCATTACATCATGACATAATCATTACATTAATCATTACATTAATCATTACATTAATCATTACATTAATCATTACATTAATCATTACATTAATCATTACATTAATCATTACATTAATCATTACATTAATCATTACATTAATCATTACATGAATCATTACATGAATCATTACATTAATCATTACATTAATCATTACATTAATCATTACATTAATCATTACGTTGCATTACATTACATTACATCACATTACATCACATTACATGACATTAATACATACATACATACATACATACATACATACATACATACATTCATACATACATACATACATACATCCACACATACATACATTACATTACATTACATTACAGTACATTACATTACATTACATTACATTACATACATACATACATAACATTACATACCACAACATTACATAACATAACATTACATAACATAACAAAACATAACATTACATTACATACATACATTATATTACGTTAAATTCATTACAATACATTACAAAACATAACATAACATTACATAACATAACATAACATTAACATAACATAACATAGCATACCATACCATAACATAACATTACATAACACAACATAACATAACATAACATTACATACATACATTACATTACGTTACGTTACATTACATTACATTACTTAACATAACATAACATAACTTAACATACCATACATACATCCATACATACATACATCCATACATTACATTACATTACGTTACATTACATTACATTACATTACACTACATTACATTACACTACATTACATTACATTACATACATACATGCATTACATACATACAAATATATATATATTTATACACATACACACATATATATATATTTATATTTATACACATACATATATATATATATAAATACATAAATTTATACATACATACCATATACATATACACCATTTACATATATACATATTTATCTGGAATTTAAGCATGAAACATAGGGGTGTAACCAACAGTTAATCTTGGATTTGCCCATTCCCCTCTAAGGCCAACACATTGGAATTTTGGTTGCTGTGCTGAGCTGTGCAACCTGCGGAACACAAAATGTGGCATGGAACAACTCAGAAACTGAGGTTTTTAGCCCAGAAAAAGGAGAGAAGAGTGAGGATAATTTTCGGGCATTGATTTTCTATGTTTGTCCCAAAAAAGGGGTGACCTCCCATGTACGCACTAGTTTATTATTTTCTCCATTAAAAACGTGCGGGTATAAACGACAGTGAGGAAATCAGCTTTCCCACTGCCCCTTGTGGTGATCCCTGGAGAAACGAGAATAATTCGCACGCCTGAAATAAGATAATTTGGGGATAGTTACCCTTACCGAGCATCATTCCATATTTAACCATATATATATATATACATATGCACATGTGTTAGGGCTATAGCCAAGTTCCCGAGCCTTCAGATATCATTCCCACTTCCGATCAATTTTCCCTCTGTACCCAGCTCGGCCTGGTATTTCCAATCGCTGTGAAGCTTTCCACAGCTTTCGTGGTAGACATTGTGGGGACCGGCGACCGAAACAGATCCACGGTGGTATACCGAATTCTTCGACTGTCACAGTTGCCTTCCCTGCCGTTCTCGCAGACGCAGTACCAGTAGTTGTCGTTGCTCCTCGGCCTCTCCGAATCTGGGAGCTGGAAAAATCGGGCTTCCAAAGACTATCATTTCTGCCCATGGCATATCTGTCCAAGGACAGTTGTTGAATATCAATGGATTGGTTTAGTCGGGAAAATTGAAACCGGAAAGCCCCATGATCTTAATGGGAAAATCTATGGTTTCCGGTTAAGATTTTCCATTAAACCAATCCATTGATGAATCAGATAGTTGTTGGGAGGACATGTTGGATACTTTCATGCTGAAATCCACCATCCAGGGCAGGCTCCCCAGGTACAAGAGGGAAACATTGGGTACCCTCTGGTTATGTCAAAATAGCTATTGAAAATTGTGATTTATAGTGGATTTAGCCATTGAAAATAGTGGATCTTTCCATAGTTATGTTAGTTTATCAGAGGGTAAATGTAGAGGTAAACTAACACATTTACCACCATCTGAGTTGGAGCCCTGACCATTTTCAGCCAAAACATACTCCAAAAGAAATACTGGGACAACTCTCCTTGGGCCAATATCCACCATAAATTCGGCCACAAAACAATTTGCGGTCATTATTTAGACATAGCATATTTTTCGCCAAAACGATCCAACTTGGCCATTTTCCCAATTTTATAGCGGCTAATTGTGGCCAATAGTGGATATAATATCCCATTAATAGTGGTTACCCTCCAGTAAACTAACATAGCTATTGAAAATGGCACATTTATAGGTTGATTTGCCTATCAAAAATGGGGATTTCCCGCTATGTCAGTTTACCAGAGGGTTTCATGGTGCTGATTTTAATCGCTGACTCCACCTGGGCAGAGAGTTCCGCTTGCTTGCCGCGTTCCAGCGCAATTTTCAAGGCCAACTCATCCTGCCGATCGCGTCACGGCGTCGTCGCGAGTTGGGCGAGAAAAAACACGTGGGATATGTCAGCCATGATTTAACATGGTGAATCTTAGATGCCAACATCTGATTTTGAGCTGGTTAATACTACCAGTTTTACATCATTTTACCATTGATAAAAAGTTATACAGTGCTGAAAGTATCTAATCAAGGTTGACCTAGTTAAGGTAATTCATACCCAAGTACATCTGTAGACTTCAGTTCGAAAAGCCCCAGTTCTGACGAGTTTGGTGGTCTGTTCCGACATCAAACCATCCAATCATCTAATCTTTCCATATCTTTCCCTTTCAACAAACATATATATATATATATATGAAATATATCTGTAGGTATCTATGTTGATTTCATCTGGTATATGAAATCAGTTTGGCAGTTTCAGTTGCCACAGATGCAAGGAGGGGCCTCCACATGTTCTAAGTTGGGACCTATTCATCCCATGAACTGATTCGTGATATCTCCATATACCTCCCATAAACCATACATAGCCAAGTTATCGAAGGAAGTTTAGAAGTCAAACTTCCGACAATATGGACAGATGAAAAGCAAAGCAGGGCAGAGGCAGAGAGAAGAGAAAGATTAGAAGAGAGAAGAGTAGAAGAGAAAGAGTCAGAAGAAAGAAGATGCAGATGCGCGAAAAGGTAGGAAAGTCGCGAAACACTATGTTTTTCCAATGATTTGAGGCTCCGGAGGGTCGAAAAGTAGGCTCGCTAAAGCGGCGGGTGCGGAGCCAGCTGGCCAGATGAGAGATGAAAAAGTGCACGCCATTGTGGCGCGAAGCACATTTCCAAGTCAAAATGTACAAAACACACCATTGTCGGACCACTTTTGGAAGTTGAGATGTCGAAAAAGTGCACGCCGATGTGGCGCGAAGCACATTTCGATGTCAAAATGTATAAAACACACCAGCTTCGGACCACTTTTGGAAGTTGCGATGTCGAAAAAGTGCACGCCGTTGTGGCGCGAAGCACATTTCGAAGTCAAAATGTACAAAGCACACCAGCTCCGGACCACTTTTGGAAGTTGCGATGTCGAAAAAGTGCACGCCGTTGTGGCGCGAAGGACATTTCGAAGTCAAAATGTACAAAACACCACATGTTCGCGCCACTTTTGGAGATTCAGATCTCGAAAAAGTGCACGCCGTTGTGGCGCGAAGCACATTTCGAAGTCAAAATGTACAAAACACCACATGTTGGCGCCACTTTTGGAGGTTCAGATGTCGCTTCGCTTCACTACATTACACTACACTACACTCCACTACACTACACTCCACTACACTACACTCCACTACATTACACAACTACACAACTACACTCCACTACACTCCACTACACTCCACTACACTAAATAACGCTACACTACACTACATTGCACTACACTACACTACACTCCACTACATTACACTACACTGCACTACCTTCCACTACATTTCACTACGTTACACTACACTACACTACACTACAACTACAACTACAACTACACAACTACACTCCACTACAAAACACTCCACTACACTCCACTACACTAAATTACACTACACTACACTACATTACACTACACTACGCTCCACTACACTACACTACATTACACTACACTACCTTCCACTACACTTCACTACATTACACTACACTACACTCCACTACAACTACAGCTACGACTACACAACTACACTCCACTACACTAAATTACACTACACTACACTACATTACACTACACTACATTCTACTACACTCCACTACACTACACTACATTACACTACAACACTGCACCACAGATAGACAGGTAGACAGGTAGACAGGTAGACAGGTAGACAGATAGACAGATAGACAGATAGACAGATAGACAGATAGACAGATAGACAGATAGACAGATAGACAGATAGACAGATAGACAGATAGACAGATAGATAGATAGATAGATAGATAGATAGATAGATAGATAGACAGCTAGACAGCTAGACAGATGAAAGAGAGAGAGAGAGAGATAGATAGATAGATAGATAGATACACAGAAGATAGGCTGGTAGGTAAGTAGATAGTCAGAGAAAGAGAGAGAAAGAGGGGAGACCTCAAGCACCTTTCGGTCCATCAGTGGATTCGCTCTGACATCCCTGATTCACAACAGCCAATCTCTCCTATAGGTTTCCTATTTTTGAAACTTCCGCCACCGCCTTGTGCGGTACTATTGGTAATTAGTTATAAATCAATTTAGCTAACATGATTCACAGATAAATCTCTATCTTCGCTGGTTAAATCACCATTTTGTCGATCTTACCCTATGTCACCATATTTATTTCATGGGGGCCCCACCTTACGTCATCATCCTTTGAGTCAACAAAAGTAGCCTTGCCATTGCGAGCAAAGCCACTGGGCATCTCCCTGTTGCGGTGCTTCAGCTTGTCTTCCAGCCGATGATCGAAGAAGACCATAGCATTTAGATGTGGTGGTACCCCCACATGGATGGTTTATTTCATGGAAAATGCCAATAAAATGGATGATTTGGGGGTACCCCCATGACTTAGGAAACCTCCATGTGGAATAATCGAAGTCAGGCTTTCATTCCGAGTTCCAGTCGCCCCCGTCCCTGCAGGCTTGGGACCCTCATTGCTCAACTGACCCTGGGACCCTGGGATGGTAACATTCGGCTCAACGATCCCCATGATATTCCAATACATGCAGGATGGGGCCCCCAAGATAGCTAAGTTGCCTTATAAGTGGCTTAACTATGGTTCATGGTAGATATAACTATAGTATTCATGGGGGTTATTTCATGGTTTATAAACAACTTGTAACTGGGGGGCCCCGTCCTGTGTATATAGCCACTATTAACCACTATTAACCATTGTTAACCATTAGGTTCATTGTTAACATCGGCCGCTTCCGTTCCTCCACTTCTGATGCTCTGCTTCGACTCAACTGCATCTCCTGTAGCAAGTCACGCCAGAAAAACATAAAACATCAAAAAACATTGGCTTGAACACAGAAGTAATGGGATCAGAATGGGATGATATGGGATGATAATCGGATAATGATTGGAGAATAGTGGAACCAGTGATGGTTAGTTTCATGGTACATTTATGGTTGACAATGCTTCATGGTTCATGGTTGATCATTGTGACGGGCGAATCCCTTCCCCATCCTGGGATTGAAACATTGGATTGAACTGATTGAACACAGACATTTCTGGATCCATAACACTTGAAAATCTGGACATATCGCCATACATAAAGATACATTAACCATGAAATATAAACCATAGTAGAACCATGAACTATCCTATCATAAACTGGTAACATCTGGTAACTCGCTAACGAACTAGCAATTTACCGAGGTTGTGCTGAGGTTCCGATTTTTTTGCGATGGAAAAACCATCTAGTGTCATCAAACGTGGCTGGACATTCCCTAAAAACATGGAGGTTTTAGTGGGAAAATCATCATTGCCACGTTCGATCAACGGAAGATATCCTTCGTCAGATCTGTGGGTGACTGGGTTGGATTGCGCTTAAAAATTCCTTCTTGGTATCCAATCAACAGTTCATAAGGTTGGCTACATATCGCACATGACCTCTGTTTTTCTAGCCGTTGCTTGATCCATATTTTGCCACTTGGCTGTCGTTCAACATAGCCCCACAAACCGGATAGACATCGGATAGGTGCCATCAGCAATTTCTGCTGGGTGACACCCGCAGCGAAGTTGTGAATGCAAAGATCCGATGACATATAAATTGCCATCAACCAATGGATTGGTTTAAGGGAAAATCTACAGGAAACCATGGTTTTTACCATCAAATATAGGGGTTTCCTGTAAATTTTCCCATCATCCAATTCTATGAATCAACCAACGAACACCGAACCACTTCACCTTGCAGTTGACCGTTGTTTTTTTTCATCGTTTTTTTGGGAAAAACTGTCCATTCCGTGCTGGTTGACCTCCCAGTTTATACAGCTTGCATAATGTTTTTGTATAAAGATCGCCCCATCCAAGCAGATTCATGCAGATGAAAACTAACCATGATATATTCTATACCTGGGTAAATTGTAATATTTCACTAATCTGAATCTTGCGGCCATAAAAGGGGATGATTTAAAATAAACCATGCTTCCAGGCTTGGGGAGAACGACGTGAGATCGTACCTTTTTTTGTCGCATTCTGAAACCTCACGTCATGACTGTTTCCATGACTGTCATCATTTTGGTCACGACCTTTCTGGGTTCCCACAAAAAATTGATGGTAAACCAAACACAAATAAAGGCTTATTTTCACTATTTGAAAAACTTGGATAAATTATTTGTTAATTCATCATTTCCGTTGATTCTTCATCCTTTTTTTCCATATTTCTGACGGTATCATGACTTCTGTCGATTTCACCCTTGGCATTTTAAGGCCGATTTTCTATGCCCTTAACCAAAAAACAACCCATTAAATCCCATTGATAAGCCATAAAAATATTGGGATGATCTCCCATTGAATCCGTTATCCCATTCTTAACCACTAATGTATCCCGTTTTTCTGTTCCTTTCATACTGGTTCTATGGGGGACATATCCCGTCTTAACTCCCATTGAGCTATAATGTAATCCATGATTAACCACAAAAAAAAACACTTTTGACCACTATGAACTATTATTATCCTATTGGTAACGGTCAATCCCCGATTATAACATGTCTTCACCCGCATTTTGCTGATCCTCCAGTGATGAAAAATCCATTCTTAACCATTCTTTCCCATGATACATCCCCGGAAAGAAACCGTTCTTCACGGGAGCATCATAATCCCCAGTAAACCAGGTAGTTTTCTAATCGCAACCGCAATCAATGAACTGCTCAATGAATCAAACTATAGGTACTATACCCATTATAGCTAGTATAGCTAGTATAATATAGCTAGTATAATATAGTATACCCACTGTAGTATAATCCCCTATAGCTAGTCTACCCAGTAACCAGGGGAGTTTGACTAAACCGTTGCGCGCGCGTGCGAACCTCGTCGGCGCTGCGGCGCAGCGCAAGGTGGCGCTGCTGGAGCTCCTCGCGCTGACGGGAGAGGCGACGGATGGCCTGGCGGCTGGCGCGGATCGCGCGGATGGATCTGAGATTTATAAACCTATGATGGTTAACAGTGGTTAGTAGTGATAAACCTTATAATCACTTAATAGTGGTTGTGAAAATCATGCTTAATAGATGATAACAGTGGTGAATAGTGATAAATAGTGCTTAATAATGGTGAAGAATGTAGAATAGTGGTTATATGGATAATTGTTAATAGTGATTAATAGTCATTAATAGTCCTTAATAGTGCTTAATATAGCTATATATAGCTATCTGAGTAAATTACAATATTTCACTTACCTGAATTAAGACCATATTGGGATGATTCCCCTTATTAACCATGATTCCCAGTGAGGTCGCAGTGAGGTCGTTATAATTCCCCCAGAGCTATTGATAATGGTCAATAGTGGTAATAAAAACTGATAATCACTTAATAGTGGTTATCAATAGTGATAACAGTGGTTTATAGTGGTTAATAGTTCCTAAAACATATCTGGTAAAGTAATATAGCTATGGAAAATGGCCAATGAGTACGTTGATCTAGCTATATAAAAACTGATTTTCCATAGATATGTTAGTTTACCGGAGGGATCCGGAGGGTATTATTGAGCTATCAAACAATCATCTCAAGAAAATCCAAAGATATCAAGCCAATATCAACTGGTTGGTGGTTTTAACCATCTTGAAAAATATTAGTCAATGGGAAGGATTATCCCATATATTATGGAAAATAAAAAAAATGAAACCACCAGCCAGTCAATGAGTTGTTTCGAGAAGATACGGACTAAAGCATTGACTACCCGAGGTTTCTTCTCAAAGTCGTCCACCGATCCAATGATATCAGCTTTTGTTAGTTTGATCATGTTACCCTCTGGTAAACTAACAGTTTGCGAACTGGAAAGATCCACCATTTTATAGCTGGGTAAATCCGCTATTTCGACTGGGCCATTTTCCAGTTCGCAAACTGTAAACGTTTACCAGGCCGGGTAAGTCCCTATTGATGTGCCTTAAATCTTCATTTTTCATGTTGGCAGCCCCAAAAATCAATCATACCCCAGCGATTCCCCCCATTTCTGTGCAACCAACGGGAAATAGAAACATCATCTTCAGTAATGTCAACCCCGGATTAATAAACTATGTTTATTAATTATGGGGGTATTCCCCAAAGAGTGATAATCTGATACTTTTTTATGGTACACCCCCAATTGGGTTTATTAATCCAGGGTTGGCATTAAATCCAAATGGCTTTGCCTGAAAATTGGGTAGCCATAAATCCTCTGGTTTATGAGAAAATTCTTTTGGATTAAGACATGTTTTGATTTTTCTTTTTCGGATGATCTATCACATTTCCAGACACACCCACATCATCAGTTTGGTTACCCTCTGGTAATTTAACATGGCTATGGAACATCTATTATGAATGGAGGTTTTAATGGGAAAATCATCCGTAAATAGGCCATTTTCCATACTCCGGCTTTTCCATCTCACGAAATACTCGTTGGTTGAAAACGGTTTCCCATTCATATGGGGTCATAATCCCCAATAACCAGGTAACAAAAACCTCCTTGCAACCAATCAACCATCAGTTCTCCATTGTCACCCTATATGATTTCTTTGAATACCATTCTTTGGAATATAAATATCCCTAGCTCCTGAGCTCCCTAACGGCTATTTTCACTAGGGAAACCAACTGGGAATCGGCCTCCTGCAGTGAGGCCCATTCTTTGGCCAGTTCTGGGGCCTGAAAAACGTGGCAAAAGAAGGGGTCCTTTGACGTCTTGTGAGGGGCCTGAGAAACATCGGAAACGTGGGATGAAATATGATGAACGGAAAAACTTGGGATATTTCATAAGGATATATGTATGTATGTATGTATGTATGTAACGTATGTAACGTATGTAACGTATGTAACGTATGTAACGTATGTAACGTATGTAACGTATGTATGTATGTATGTATGTATGTATGTATGTATGTATGTATGTATGTATGTATGTATGTATGTATGTATGTATGTATGTATGTATGTATGTATGATGTATGTATGTATGTATGTATGTATGTATGTATGTATGTATGTATGTATGTATGTATGTATGTATGTATGTATGTATGTATGTATGTATGTATGTATGTATGTATGTATGTATGTATGTATGTATGTATGTATGTATGTATGTATGTAACGTATATAACGTATGTAATGTAATGTAATGTAAATGTAAATGTAAATTAAATGTAATGTAATGTAATGTAATGTAATGTATGTATGCATGTATGTATGTATGTATGTATGTATGTTATGTATGTTATGTATGTTATGCATGTTATGTATGTTATGTATGTTATGTATGTTATGTTCTGTTATGCTATGCTATGTTATGTATATTGGAGATCCACCACATGGTGCAGATCTTCCTTGGTTAGCACCGGAGGTGTCACCATCGAAAGTATCGACTTTCAACCAGCCAGAACAGTCCTAGAAGCCATAAAATGCTGGAAACCACCAGACAGAACTGCAGCTGGAAGTAGTGATTCAAACAATTTCTGGTTGGTGGTTTTAACCATCTTTTGAAAAATATTAGTCAATGAGAAGGATCATCCCATATATTATGGAAAATAAATTTCATGTTTGACACCACCAACCAGATTTAGAATCATCTTTCATTGCCAGTCCGAACTCCAACTAGAGTAACCCAGCACCAAAATCTGGGACCTACCAACATGCAGAATGGAAAATTCACATTCTAAAAATGGGGATTGTCCAGCCATTGGATGAAAGTGCTTGCTCCAACACAGCCAAGAGACTTTTCCTTCATTTGCTCCTGCAAGTGATCACAATCTTTGATCATTTGCAATAGATTTCACCTCTTTTTTCTGCGGCATTTCTTTTTTTGGAAGTTTTAACCGTGTTGAAGGACAATTTTTGATGTGTGTCTACTGGCAAATGCTACATCCCTGTTTTCATGATACTGTCATATTGCCCCGCCACTCATATTCATATGACCAACCGCACTTGTTAGTTCTTAGTCATTTTCTCGTTTCATCTGGAATTTCAGGGCTGTCCTGTTGCTTTGCAGCTGCCTGCGCAAACTATTATTACGTCCGAATCGCGAAGATCCCACAAAAATTCTCACCAACCTGAAAGGTTCGGTCATTTTAAGATAATTACCCCAATCCACTTCCCATCATTCCAGTGACATCGCAGAGAATCCACAAATGTATAAACACATACATCCCAGCTATATCCCAACTATATCCCACCTAAAACCCTGCAAATCCCTAGTGTTCTTGGGTAAACCTCCCTTTTGGCTGGTTCAAATCCCCAAACATTACCCTCTGGTAAACTAACATAGCTATGGAAAATCACAATCTTTAATAGGTAAATCAACTATAAATGGGGCATTTCAATAACTATCTTAAATTACCAGAGGGTACAGTACTTCCTTTGCCTTTCCATCATAGGTGAAGTTGTTTGGCCAGGTGTGCCAGGTGTGCCGGAGAGACTTTTTTTCTGACTGCGCTTGGCATGCGCTTGGCATTTTGGGCATTTTGGGTGCCATAAAAAGGATCCGTGTTTCAAAAACAACATGATTTACCATTCATGAAAACTTGGGATATCCCCAGTCGGATTGATAGGGGTTGTAAAGGGGTTGTAAACCAAAAAATCATCAAGCAACATTTATGGTCGCAGTTTCCCCATAGTCTTGATGGTTAATGTTTAATCAGTCATGATTAAAGATTAAAGCCTACAGGATGGTGCCCCAGTTATAAGTTTTATGTTTGTTGGCAACCCCATGAATACTAGCGAGTGATATCTACCATAAACATTAATTCAGCCACTTATCCATATCTCAACTTGGCTCGCTATCTGCTTCGGGGGCCCCATCCTGTGGGACATGCTGGGTATGGGGCTTGATACCACCTGAATATTAGCTCTGGCAATACCATCTGGTTATTTAACATAGCCATGGAAAATCCCAATTTTTAATAGGTACACCATCTATAAACGGGCCATTTTCGATGGCTATGTTAAATAACCAGAGGGTATATATATATGTCATCTATCTCCGTGAATTAGAATCCCATTCCATCCTAGCATATCTACATCAATTTAAAAGTAATTCACCAACCTGAAAAAATCGGCTCGGGGAATGCTCCTATTTACTAAACATCATCATTATGTGCGGTCGCAATATCACTTGTCCAGACTTATCTGTTCCTAATGTTGAACACCCGCCAAGAAACCATGGTTTAGTAGGGGATGAAACCACGTATTTGGAATATTCAAATGGGGCTATTGATTTAGCTCTGGCAATAGATGTGCCATTTTTTGATGACACCCTATTGATGATGCTTAAAACAGCATAACCAGTCATAGTAGCAGCATCGTTCCGGATTTCCCACCCCTTGTTCCTGATTTGCTTCTCTCGCGCTTGAAGCCTGGCCAAAAAGAACTGGCTATATGGCTGATTTATGCGGAATTATATCTACTGCAGGGGATATAGTATAACTATATATATATATATGTATAATTAAATATTAAACTATATATATATATATACATATTATCTAATTAATGATATGTATATATATATATATATATTGGGATAATAAACAACAACATCTACTGGGACAATCAATGGATAAATGGTGCTTCAATGGGCTTTAAATGGTGCTTTAAATACCACTAATTCAAAAACCTTAAAACAACTGTCGATTCCCTTGCCGTGGAAGTTGAAGGGCACCCCGAAGGTCCACCGCTCAGGGCAGTTTGCCAAGCTCACTGTCAAGCCGCGAAGTCGCCGAAGTCAACAAATGCTCTTCTTCCAAAGAGACTGTGCTTTCAGTCGCTCCATTTGTATCGCCGCACGCCACAGATCTGGGCTTTTGCTGCCTTTGTATAAGGCCTTCAGCGCATCCATGTCAAAATGCTTTCTTTTCAGTTGCACTCTCTTCCGTGTGTCACAACACGGCAGAAAGCCACCTGTGCTCGATTGCTTATCCAGGTACCCCAATCGTTGAATGGTTAGTACTAAAAATGGATTGGAATCTGTGGTCCCCCCCAGGTCTGGAAAATCTTGACTCACACCCATGTGGCTATGGGTCAATACCTACTAATACCATTTTTAGTGGGATGAACATCCAATTACCAGCTATTTTGGGGTTCACCAGGGGTACAAGGTTTTGACTCACACCCATGTTGGAGTTCCTATTTTCCAGCCTGAAAGCCAGCTTCTGGACTTCTTCTTACCTGTCAGCGTTGACCTAGAACCTGGACATCGCTAAACCGCTAAACGTTTCACCGAGAGAAAGTTGAACAAACCAACAACATTCGGTTTCAACTGCAAGCTGAGATATAAAACTCCATTTTTATTCTTGAGTTGATATCACCACAACATAAATATGAAGTTTTATATCTTAAATACAACAGTAGCCACATATCATCGCATCTTTTGCTGTAAAAAGAAAGGCCCATGGGCTTCGGTTTCAGTCAGGTTCAAAACAAAAAATGTTGCAGCTTGCCATAGTTTGTTGGCAGTGTAGAAAACAATCACAATTCCTGGTATTTGAATCCAATTTGGCAATGGGGTTCAGCCCCAATCATCCTCAGGGCCCCTCGTTTACGCAACTCCAAGGACTATGGTTTATTATACGCAAATATACGCAAATAACGAACTAGTATTCATTTTTTTTTTTGTGGCTTTCTAGTTATCAACTTCTTGGTGATTTTCTCCTCAATTTTCCAATCAGACCCAATCAGGTCCCGGCTGGTCGAGGATGGCGATATCTCAAGCTGAAGTCCCTCCAGCGACTCGCCTCTCATGGGGCAACGTTCACCAAAATCCATGGGCTCATGGTCCCTATCCATGGAAGTCATTCGGTGCCAGTCTAAGTTTACATACCAAAAAGGCTAGTTTCTTTTGCTCGATATTATATATATACATGTTTATACAAAATATAAACCCATGTATGGTTCCAAGAATGGACTTGTAGGATATCCTCAAATCCCAAAGTTTATGAATCTATCATCATTTCCCTACAAACACGACAATTTAGCACTGGCAATTCCGTAATTTTCAGACACAACCATCTCACATGGTATGTTATATATTTGTTAATGTCCATTAACTGCATCCCACAATATCACTAATCGCATCCCCCTAGTATTAAATACAAGCAAACTGCAAGCTCCGACATGAATCAGTCCAATACTAAATCAGGGGCTTCGATCGGGGGAGTTTGAGATTTGGGGGAAGTGATTGTTCAATAACAATCCAACTAAATCCAACTATATCCAACTATATCAATCTATATTCCTTGGATCTCATCCCATTTTTCGGGTATCTCCCCCCATCATGGTGGGGGGTTTTCCCCTTGGATGGGCATCCGGGAAACTCCACCAGGAAAAACTTTCCCATTTTTCGGTTGGTGGTAAATTTTCCACCATTCCCAGGATGGGTGGTAAATTTATGGCATTGTTTCACATCTTTTTTCGGGCTATTTCGAAGGATTGTTCGGCACCATGAGCCCAAGTAGCGGGGACCGCGCCTGGCATCTCCGTCTCCAAGGATGGTAAGAGGGAAAAAAGGGCACCGGCAGAGACTTGAGCTTGGATCATATCCTTGACGACCAAAGGAAAGGATCTTTGTTTTGGGGAAAGCATCCATTCTGACGAAGGGGGGGATACCCTCTGGTAAACGTTTACAAAAAACGAACTGGAAAGATCCACCATTTTTGATGGGACAACTCACTATAAATGGCCATTTTCAATAGCTATGTGACAAATTACCAGAGGGTAGTCGTTTTCAATCATGTTCAGTTCAGGCATATCCACATCAATTGTTTTTGCAACATTGTGGGGTGTTTTTACCATTGAGTAAACGATTCGCGAAAGATGAAAAACATACGTATATTTCTAGTATACACCTCTAGCACATCATTGAGCAAATAGTAAGGGTCTTTTCGCTCGCCAAACATGTTTTTTCCCCAAGCGTTGGGCGGAATGCAACCGGGTTATCCTTGGGATCTTTTTAGCCATGCCGTAAGTTCCTGGGGTCACAACCATCCCGGTCAGGTTGTCATTTTACTGCGAGGGGCGAGGGTTTAGGCTTCCACTTTTAACTACCATCTAGTTATTTGACATAGCCATGGAAAATCCCTTATAAATGGAGGTTTGAATGGGAAAATCATCTAGACATGGGCCATTTTCCACGGCTATGTTAAATAACCAGAGGGTAATACAAACAGTCCTGAAAGCTGCTTTTTTATGTGTTTTTTTTCCGCTTCAACCGGTGAAAAAAATCGGGGGTGTCATCAGTGTCATCCAGTAGATGCACCAAACATCCGTCCCTTAAACAGGAGAATTCCTTTCGGGTTTACGCACGTAAAATGCAACAAAATCATCTTCCAGGGCTCCAAAAACTCATTGTAGCCCACAGGCACATGGTCGCGGGTCTTGGTTTGCCTTCAGTGGCTTGAAACAGCCAAGTTGGATAGTAACAAAAACTGGGAGATCTGATGGATGGTTGAGCACCTCCAGAAAATTAACAAAGCAAAATGGAAAACTCACCATGAAAGTCTATGTTTTTTTCCACATGGAACACTGTTGGATTTCCATCTGAGCCTTGTTCCAGAATCGCCATTCCATTATACTGGTTGGTTAGTAAGGATTCCCATAAGAGATTGTGATAATGCCCAATATGGTGAGTAGTATCATCCCCGAACTATGTCTTTCTATGAATTTACTGGAGGCGAGTTGAACACCGAGCACCGTTTCATAGAGGTTGACTGACGTGACGATGCGAAACAATTCCATCGGCAAAGAGGAGAGGACATCCACTTTCAGGGTATTTTCACGCAATCTTCCCGGACAATAATAGATAAGATAGATAAGATAGATAAGATAGATGAGATAGATTAGCCGAACCAGTAATAGGTTGCTGTTTATTCCCCATGCATTGATGAGTCCTTTTCCCACGGCTGGTTCTACCTCCATCTCTCTTGGATACATCAGCCAAATTGTGACTTTTTGATGATGCAGGGCCAAGAAATGCCAAACAAATGGATCGAATCGGCAAATGGCCAATCCTGGCAAATCCTCACCTGTATTCATTCCCAGTATCTCCTCGTTGTTACCTCTTTTAATTCTCCCAATCATACCACCTGATGCTGATCTCATTATCCCCATGGTTTCATGAGTTTATGGCCCAATAAAGTGGCTACTCTAAACCATATGAACACCCACCAACCAGCTTGGATTTGCGATCCAGGACTTCCCATGGGAAAAAACGCTTCATCAGCCAATCCAAGATGTGGAGGTTTCCAAAAATGCGGGTACGACTGGGGATCCAGCATTTACGCCTCCATATTTTTAGCAATTAAACCCCACCAAGCGGTACAGGATTGTGCCCCACAGTCATAAGTTGATATATAAACCCCATCAACTAGTTAGTTATATCTACCAGAAACCAGACTTAATTCAGCCACTGCCATTCTCAACTGAACGTTAGCTGGTTTAAGGGGGCCCCATCCTGTACTTATCATCCAGTTATAAATCCCTCTGTCATTCCATTATACTGGTCGGACCAAAATTGGTTCATGGGGATATCAGGGGTTCTTGGATTATCATACCCACCATCATTCCCCAAACATTTCCAAATAGGCTTTAATAATGCAACAGAATAATGGTTAGTAATCCCAAATATATTGGTTAATAATGGAAACTATAATCATTTGGGATCCACTGAAAAAAAACCCGTTGGGATCCCCGAACTAATCATCAACCACTAGTTCCCGATATTAACAAATATTTGATGATCCATTCCCAAGATGATAAATAATCAAATATGATCCATTCTAAAATGACTTCCCGGATGATTATTCCGGTAGTACCCAATATGTTCCATTCCAAAGATGAGCAGTGTTCAAAATCCCTTTATCATTCTATTTAATCCTGGTTGGTTTATAGGGATTCCCCGCTCTTGGGTTACTATAATCCCGCATAATTGGGTAGTATAATCCCTTACAAGGTGGGTAATAATGATTGATTATGGTTGATCATGGTGAATACTGGATTATTTATAAATCTCCCATAATTGAACCCCCTGAAAAATATTAGTCAGTTGGGATGATGAAATTCCCAATATATGGGAAAATAAAATTCATGTTCCAAACCACCAACCAGATATTCCAGCCCATTCTTAGACTAAAAGATAATCCCATTGATACCAAAAGACTAGTTAGGATTAAAGTATCCATGTAAGATTGACCTAGCAACCAAGCAGGCTTTGAACACTGCTCAGATTGCCATAGATTGCCCGCCTGATTCGCCAGGCGCGCTCCGTCCCAGTGCCACGCAGTGGGGTGAAGCCGCTGCCGAAGCGAGTGGTGCCCAGGTGACGACCGCAGGCGCAGAGCCTGATGGGCTGGAAAAATGGCACATTTTGCCATGGAAAAAATGGGGGAAAACATAGTGTTTTCCATGGTGATTTTAACCATCTGGTTATGACTAACAGGTCGCCATGGGAAATCACAATTTTCAATAGGTAAACCCCTATAAATGGGCAATTTTCCCATAGAAATAGATGGTTTACCTAGCGACAAAAAAATGGGTGGGACTCCTTTCCATGGCGAGCTCTTAGTCATAACCAGGCCGGGTACATTCGGAAAACATGTGGTGGAACACCATGGTGATTTTAACCATAAGAGATTTAGGGATTCACTATGGTGAGTTTATGAGAGCTAACTTGGTGAGTTCACTATGTTTACTGGTGGGTTTATGTGCTATGTTTAATATAATATAACTAATATATAACATAATGTTTACTTTACAGTATAAGGAATCCCTACTTGAAATATCATCCCATGGATCGTAAGTGGTTAGTAATAGCTCATCTACTGAATGCAGTAACCACACTTATTAACGAGTTACGATTTGTGGGATGATCCTCCAAGTTACTCAGTCAATTGATGATTCACAACCCTGATTTTTTTTGTCACACTCAAACAATCTAAACATCTCTACACAACTAGGTTGTATTGGTTTGGGCATGGAACTTTTTCTTCTGACAGAATGGAATATGCTCGGTATACCATGACCAATCTTGGATACCCTGCAAAAAAATAAAAGACTAAAGGATTAAACTAGGCACGGCGTCAGCAACTACCCATCCAAGATTGACCTAAATATTGGCCATCCAGACCAATTTTGATGGTTTTTACTACTCATTTCTGAAGAATTTGGGTTTGGCCATCCCGCAGTTGATGCCCCATCCATGAGAACATGCAAAAAAAGTTGGTGTTTTCTGCCGCATTTTCAAACACATGCCGAATATCATCTGAAGTTGGTCACATATCCCATTTATCTCAATCCCCGAAATATTCCCAATCAAATCATCATTTATCTCCCATTTCTATCCAATAATTCAATGGGCTAAGGGAAGCATCTATAGGAAACCATGGAGATAAAATCCCAAAATCTAGGGGTTCTACATTTTTCCATCAATTCAGGGAATATTCCACATCGTGATTCCAATCTATACATATACAGAATACAGCAGCTTTACATGGTATATCCTATTTACATCCAATATGTAAAATTGGATTGGTAACATTTTTTTAGATTTGCCCATATTGTTTTGATGGTACCCACAGATTTCTGGTGAAGATTTTCCCAACAAAACCAATCCATTGACATGTTTGCCCCCCAAAAATCCGATATTTGTCCCATCTCGACACCTCTCCAGGCGTCGATGCCGAAAGAGACCCAAGGAGATAATATGCCAATTAATATCTGGTTGGTGGTATACCTACTCCTCTGAAAAATGTGAATTCGTCAGTTGGGATGATGAAATTCCCAATACATGGAAAAATAAAACATGTTCCAAACCACCAACCCATTTCTCATCATTTTCTCAATCCCTAGGCTGCGGTATCCGAGCAACACACCCGCCGTGTCCATCGCTGCATCTGAAAGCGAGGACATCCGGATGTCGAAAGGAATGGATATCTGACCATGAACATACATTACATAAATATTTATAGGTCATATACCTATAAACATACCATATATACCTAAACATGTACATATATATATATACACACTCTATCTATACCTATATTACTATATCTTGACCATAATTACATTTATAACAATGGGTCAGTATAATTATAGCTATAGATATCGTATATCTCCAGGATAGGTCAGCATATACATATATCATACATATATATATATGTATGTATGTATGTAGGTAGGTAGGTACGTAGGTAGGTAGGTAGGTACGTAGGTAGGTAGGTAGGTAGGCAGGCAGGTAGGTAGGTAGGTATGTATGTATGTATGTATGTGTGTATGTATGTATGTGTGTATGTGTGTATGTGTGTATGTGTGTATGTGTGTATGTGTGTATGTGTGTATGTGTATGTGTGTATGTGTGTATGTGTGTATGTGTGTGTCTATATATATATATGTATATAGCATATATACATATATGTGTATACACGTGTCTGAACATGGTGTTGACCCATGAAATAGCAATTTCAATGGAAAATACCATGATTAAACAACAAATTGTCTGAACCACAAATTTCAGCCATCCATCACCTTTTCTACTGATCATCTCCTGTCTTGATCCACTGGTATTCGTTGGTTGAAAACGGTTTCCTATGTTCATAATCCGCGATGAAAAAGATAGTATAACTCCTTACTTCATAACCAATCAACGGTTTGGTATTTTCAATGGCTGATATGGGAACATATTTTTTTCCACAACTTCTATGACTGATGCATTGGTCTACCGTCTCCTATCCCAAAACGATATGAGAGGTTTATTGGTGCGCGAAGGATCAACCAACCAAACATGTAGAACTTAAATTTCTATAAAAACCCTAATAGCAACGGTGTTTTTTTTTTGTATGGCTGGTTGCACCGAACACTTGTTCTGGCTAGTTGATCAAGATCCGTAAGAAATATAAAACCCTACTGGAGATATAGGTCACCCAGGTCACCCTAAAACCCTAATTTCATCGTCGCATCGGACATGTCCTGGCAACCCCATCGGCAAGTTGTGTCGGACCTGGAAGTCCAACATGACCACTGCTCGAGGACTGCCAGACATGCCTTGGAGATGGAGGAGCCTGATTTTTTTTTCATCGAAACATGGGGGGGCAGGAAACTGTAAAGGGTTGGTATTGGATGGTTGATGGTGAATCATGGTTATAATGATAGTTGATGATGGTTACCCTTTGGTAAACGTTTACAGTTTGCGAACTGGAAAATCTCCATCTTTGAGAGGTAAATCAACGAACTCAATGGGTCATTTTCAATAGCTATGTTAAATTAGCAGAGGGTATTGGTAAAAACCCAAGTGTATGAAACCCGATTTTCAGAAAGTCTCAGCATCGTCTGAGTCTTAAGGAAAGAAGACCTGACACATTTTTCATGATTGCCGACCTAGTCTGTATAATATATGGATATTTTCCAACGCCCACCCACGTGAACCATTGAAAATACTACTATTCAATCTCATTAATTATACTAGTTGGTTGATAGGTTTCCCTACTATTCGTTATAATCATCCCCAATTGGTAGTATAACTCTAATAATTATCAATCAACCAGGTTTTTTTTTAAATGGACTCATGTTGGTTTATCAAAGGCTAAAGAAACACCCTTTCACACCTCTGGCTTGGAGGACTGCATATGTTTTTTTTTTTTTGGACCCAAAGAGATAGAATGGATGAATCACTTTTCTAGAAAATGTAGCTACATTTATCTAGTGATACCCCAAAATGACTAAAAATCTAGTGTATCATATCATTTTTTGCTGGGTTTGATACACACCATTTCTAGTCTGTCTTGAACCCGACGTCCGAAAAGATCCATGGTGTCCTGCAACAAATACTCGAACAGGTACCGCAAAACATGGCGGAACAATTCTCCTTTTACAAATATGATTTTCCCATTTCAGGCTGCATTGAAAGCCCAATTTACGTGACCGGAATTTGTATGATTTTTTCCCATTAGAAGTATTAGAAAAACACCATTCAAACCCAGGAAATTTTCCATGAACAATGGTGGTTTTATGTTTTTCCTGGAAAAAATCATGGTTTTCCACCATGGAAAACCGCCATGAATCCCCAAAAACCTGCGCCGGATGCCCCATGAACCGTCCGGCCTGGATGGCAAGCTTTCGAGGGATGTAAAGAGTTGGCCCAAGCCTTCAAGTGACGTCAACAGCAACGAAGGCATCCGCAATGTCGCCGGAGCGCCAAGGCGGCCCACCTCGAGCGAGTTCAGGAGCGCGAATTCAATGGGATCGTTGGTTCATGAATAGTGCTTAAGAATGGTGAAGAATAATGGTTATGAACCATTATTAACCATTATTAACCACTATAATGGTTCATAATGGTTCAATAATGAAGTTCATAGATTTTGATCACTCAGTGTTCAAAACCCCAAATTGGGCGTCCTTTTTGAAGTACTACTTTTCGTAGTTGGTTTCCATGGCTTTCCCGTAGTTTTCGATAACCCGTTTTCCTCAACTGCGCTGATTCATGGGTGAACTGTGACATGACATCGGGGAACTAAAAGCCACAACATGAAAAATGGATTGATCTAAGCGAACATCTACAGGAAAGCTGATATGGAAGTCACATCCAAATCTCTTTATGCTGCAAAAGATTAGTTGAAACATTTCTGGAATCTTGGAGGAAGAACGCTTGTTGTTGGTATGACTGGTGCATCATGGTGTATCCCAAAGGGCAATAAACCATTTCTGGGCGAGTTTCAATCAGTGCCTTACCACAATTTATCCAACTTTAAAAAAGTGGCTTGATGCTTCAGTACTTCCAACCCTATCATCAAGGTTTCATCATTGCCAGCATCGAAACTAGTTGGAAACCATGGCAATGGACCATTTCCCATTTATAGATTAATTTCCCACTGAAACACCATTCATAGCGAATTTTCCCATTAAAACCACCAGTTCTAATTGTTTTTTCCATTCAAACTTCCAGTTATAGTTGTTTTTCCTATTAAAACCTTCATTCATAGGGGATATTCCCCTTGACGATGAAGTTCCCATTAAAAACCCATGAGCACCGGGGATTTTGGACCGCCACCATGGCCAGGGTAACCTGCGGAATCTGAACCGTCAGCTCGTGCACACGGACACGGCACCATTCCACCGCAAAGGGAGGAGGCTGCAGCAGTTGGGTGAAGGGCATCACCACATTCTTCACCTGGGAGTGCCCTATGGATAATAATAGTCTTACCCAATATATGTATATATAAATGCACACAGATAGATAGATAGGTAGGTAGGTAGGTAGATA